GCACATACTTGACGAGACGAAAACGAGCGGATGTGTGCTGCTTTCAAGGCATAGAACGAATGGTGTTCGTGCCTGCTTTGACAGTTGTTGTCGATTTTAATGATATTTTGGAAAGTTAAGGTAAAAAGAAATCGGAAAAAGGTAAGGTAAATACTATTGTTGTATATCACACCCGGGCATCGCACTGTTAAGTACATGCGGGAAAGCCAGCTTTTGTCAAATACTACGAAGTTTATAATTCAGTACGATACGTGGTTGGCCATCTGCCGAAATTACATATTTACTTACCCCTTATGGTTTCAAATAGTTCATGCACCTCCAGTTAGATTTTTTTAATCAGTGAGGATATATACTCATTGTTGATTGCTGCTCATTGTAACATACTATTGCGCATTCACTTTTATTTCGTATTGAATCAAAGTGTTAACAAGTTCACCTAACATTTCACTCATACCGGTCTATATTGTATAGTCTGATCTCTCAAGTATTTGGAGCCACGAATGCTTGTAATTTCTGACTAAACTCTTTTATTAGTTGGTTTATATACCAAATTCAGTAAAATATTTTTTACATGAAACATGAGATATTGGATTTATTAGCTTTTCCATTCTAAATCATATAGACTGCTTTATTTATTCTTAACGAAAATTAATAAATCTCCTCTTTTTCTTCAGATGTGAAAGTTGTGGACAAACCATTGTGAGACTCCTGCAGCACAAGAGGCAATAGCAGAAATAGTAAGTATATCAATCAAGAAATTAAGCCGACATAAAGCAAAACTTTCAACTATTCGTCTAATCTCAATTTCCTATTATTTATTCACAGGACAACTATAGCAGAAGGGGAGATATCAGAAGTCTGGCGACATATCAGTGACATGCTAAGACATTTGAACCTCCGGTAGAGTTGTGTATGGCCCCTACATCCTGCAGGGCTTGAGGAAAATAACTAAAAATTCCAAAGCGTAAAATTACATACTCGGTCTTATTTGTAAAAAGGCACAAAACACGCCAGACATACTTAAAACAGCTTTGGAAAATTAGGATTACGGGTAACTCACTGCACCTGTGTTATATTTGGTTCATCAACTTTTGGTAGTACTATAGAAGAAATTCCGGAAGGGGTATAATCATCATTCATGATAAAATACTATAATATATTTTTTGGACAACTTCAATCTAGACCAGGGATCTCAAACTCGCGGCCCCAGAGAACTTCCAGTGCGGCCCTCGAACGCTTAACAATAATTGTAATAGTATTTTGGAAGTTTTTTTTTTATCTAAATGTAATAGATTTTTCGAAGACCAACTTCGAACAGAAAATTTCCATGTGTTTGTATATTAATATAATTATGCAACGACTTAGTTACTAAAAATCAATAATAATTCAAGCAATCCTATGCCACGCAATGTGGTGCGAAATGTCTTGTCGAAAAAATCTGTCATTTGTTTTTTTACTGATCTATACATGAAATGATAAAAGTAACTTTTGTGCATTACTGAAATTAATTAAACATTCGCAAAGATCCAGATTAACCCATGATGATGTGGCCTCGTTAGTTAGAGTTGGTACTATAAAATCATTTCAGCCTGGCCTTAGTATGCTGGTGACACAAAAAAGATGCCAAACGTAAGGACAAATGTAATTATTAAAACATTGAGTTTATACTGTAGTATTTTTGTTAATTTTAGGTTCATATATTTAGATTAAGTTATTTTTAGTGTATGTATTATTCTTTCCTTATTCAAAGCTTGTTCAAAAATGATTTTGATGGTTGTACATAGAATTTTATGATTTTTTATAATAAATACAGTAACTTGCAAATGTTGCAATAATAGTGGAATGCAAATATTAATATGTAATTGCATTTGAAATTGAAGAAAATAATAAAACTTAATCCAACTGTTTAGTTGCATCACAATATATGTCACAAACTAAAACTATCTTAAAAATATCTTTTAAGTATACATTATCAAAAACTGTTTGCGGCTCTTTTTACAATTTCCAAAATACAATGCGGCTCTCGAAAATCCATAAGTTTGACACCACTGATCTATTCTAGACGATTCAAGCATTGCTTTGGGAAATAATATCACTTCAATTAAATTGAAATAATCTCGCTATATTAAATACAAAATCGTTGCTATCATAAAGGTAAACCAATTCATCCACTCGAAATATATTGGCCTTCACAAAGCAATGGAGGCAAAATTGAGAGTTCATGAACTATGAACATTTGTTCTTTTCTTTGTCTTGAACTTTTCATACTCCACAGCCCCTATTAATTTTTTTTAATTTTAATTACCATGTGATGGTCATACATATCTTTAACTTGTATTTTCTGTCATGATGTATTATCTCAATGTGCCAAACTATTAATTAGTGTGCATATTTTGCTTCCAGATGACATAAATGTATTGTCTTGTTTATTACCTCAGCCTGGAGTATTGACAAGAAAAAGGTGCCAGTAAATTAGATAAAAAATTTTTTAACTCTTTGTTGTAATCAGAATTCACAATCAATAGGAATTATAAACAGCCAACAATCAATGAGAATTATATGCGAAATCCCTCACAATAAATTTGTCTAAAATCGGAGGAAGGCAAAAAATATAGGTAGTTTCCATTCACACAAGCATTTCAAGAAGACTTGCTCGAGCCAAACTAAATGAGCATCGTCAGGTGGTCGGTAAGGCTGCAAGTTGAATTCAGCCATGCAACCTACCGCATAGAAGATAATATTAATTAGTGGGCCATGAGCTAAATTCCTAAATTTAAACAATCCTATCTACGATGCATTATGTACCAGCAATGTTACCTACGATTAACTGAATATGTAATATGTCTAATAAATTCACCTACAAAAGCAAGTTCGATAGGTGCAAACTTTGTGTTATGGAATTGTATCACAGCACAGTTTTGTATGACACCCTCTTTAAATAAAATTTCAATGATTAAGCGCAAACATTAAAATTACTAACTTTGAACTTTGTCATTATCTGCAAAATGTTCCACACAAATCTTTCCGCTATCGCGTTTGTAATCTTCTCTGATAAAAAAAAAACGTCTATGATGTCCAGAATTGCTCTTTACAGCTTACCTGCCATTCCAGCTTTCCAAGTGAGCAAAACTTCTCAGATATAGAGATTATTTTGTTTCGTTACAGGCGCAAAAAGACAGGTACTACACGTAAAAAAGACGCCGAGTAGCAAAAGCGAGCGGAAAACGGACGCGAAAGGCGACGAGAAATATGTGCATTGGAGCGTATCATGAAATACAATCTTTCGCCTGTAGTCTTATGGAGTGACCTCAGAGTTGCCTATCATGTTGTTTAATGTCATTGCGTACCCAAAGCGACATTAGAGCGCATATCCCACAGAGTACGGCGCGTTGGCAGAATCTCATGGTCTAGTGAGAATGACGTCATCAGAAACACCGCGCTCATTAAAATTTTAATAAACGATTATCAAAAATCTTGACCATGTTTATCATGATAAAAATATCAAAAAAGATGTAAAAAATATCCTATCTTCAAAACTGCTCACGTCTACATTGAAAGATATCTAGAAAATTATAAAAAATGCAAATTTCTGCTCTGGTGATCACATTCCCCATAAGAGCTAATGTTAAAAAAAAAATTTTTACATCACTTTTCTTTTTGCGCGTAGAATGGGTTTTTAATGAATAAGGTCTATTAAAAACGTCCCCCAAAATGTTGCGTTAAATCAGGCTAAAATAAGCTGTCGGTAATTTTTCACGAGATCTGCTTGGAATAAAATGTATATCCATATGCGGCGCGGCGGTGTGGCTCATCGTGCTTTTTAGAGTTGGGACCCACTATTTATTACCACAGCTTATGCGACCCATTTAATTTTTATGACATAACACAGAACACAGCAATGGCTAATCATCGCAAAACTACCGTGTTTCCTCGAAAATAAGACCTGGCCTGAAAATGAGACCTAAATTGAAAATGATTTTAATTAAACCCTACCCTTAAAACCACCACTACATCACACCACTATTCAAGATCGTGTGATATCACAATTATGACATTTGTCACTTGATTTTTTTATAGGAAATACAAATAAAAACAATGGATGTCGGTTTTTATTAAAAAATCTCGTGCTTTTCTACAATGTAATTTTATTTTTAATGTATGAACACAAAAGACCCCTCCAAAAAAAACATAGTGTTATTCTTCAAAAGAAAATAATTTTAAATCCTGTCTAAATTTCAGGGAAACACGGCAAGAAGTGCTGTACAGTGTACAAAACTGCTATGTGTAAAAAAAAACATGGTCATTGTTTGTGTAGCAACTTTTTGTTCCTCTGAGAAGATCGTAAAAAGGAAACTTTCACAGATTAGAATTGAAATTCAATTTTTTTTTTTTTTTTTAAGATTTATGTAGTCGCAACCGATTCTAATAACCAGTATAATTAATCAAAGCTTTCGTCATCTTTTCGCGACCCACTAAGATTCCTTTTGCGCCTCACCAGTGGGTCGCGACTCATAGTTTGGGAACCTCTGCGTTAGAACAATTCAAAACAAGAGAGCTATGCTCAAATATATGGACACGTAGCGCCTCCCAGTGGCAATAATTTTGATGACGTCATAGCGAGAGAAAAAAAAGTAATAGCCTTCTGGAGAAAAATTTTATCTTTAGCCACTGAAAATATCAAAGCAATTGGTCCAGTATTCGGAGAGAAAAGCGATTTTTTAAAAATGGAGACGGAGACAAATAACAATAACAACAAAATTTTGAAACGATCGTTATGGCCCCTAAACGTGTCCAACAACAAAATTTTGAAACTATCGTTATGGCCACTAAACGTGTCCAACAAATAGGCAATAAAAACGGAACTATGTAAGATATTTATTGTAATGGTCCCTGTGGTAAATTTCAATCGCAGCGAATATTGTTATTCCGTGTAGGAATCGGTTGAATATTGCAGAATTATTCCCGCGCCGATGCAAGGTTCAAAATTAGTCTTTCCATGTTTTTGTTTATACTCTATAGGTTCACCACGTCTGGATTATAGTAAAATGAATAAATGATTATAGCATGGCAGAAGGCAGGACAAAAAAACAGACAGGTGAAATTCTGGAATCAATAGAGGAACTTACTAGGTAAATTCATAACTGCTATGAAAAACTTATTCTAAGGTTTAAGATATCGAAAATGTTGTTTTTTGATAAATCACCGTAGTATTAAAACAGAGAAAAGTTTAGACATTAGGAAGAGATTTTTTATGGCAAAATGTGCATTTACATATTGCTTATTATAGGTCTCTATTTTACGCCATTTGCTCTGAACAAGGCCCTGGCTACTATTTTTAAGATAAGTTTATTTCGACTCCATAATCAGCACAAAAGGCGATTAAATGATTGATGCAAACAAATAAATAAAAACTGAAATCAGGAGAGCAAACAAAACCTTGGATGGGGTTTAAAACTGTAAAACGTACAGAATAGAAAATGGAGGGTTTTGCCAAAAAGAAATGGTACGGTACCGGTACCTACGTGTTCATTCACCTGAAATTATGGAATCAATTCACACACACAACAATCTGACAATAGGGCTATAATAAATTTAGATTGTTGATATATCCATGGTGAGATGGTGGACAATTGGACTCGAGATGCGTCTAACGCTTAGCCACTACACCTGTACACCAGGGATGGCGAACCTTTATCAATGGATGGGTCCAAAATTATATTGTACTATATACAGATATATAATTATATATACAGACTGACAGAAGAGAGTGGGTCACAGATATTTAATCAATGTTTGTATTTATAAGACGCGGCGGTGTTGCTCATTGTGCTAAGCGTTAGGAATACATCGCACCTCTGATTACTGGATATGACTCTGCGTGAGATCGCAGGTTCGAATCCCATGCCTGTATGCAGGGATGGTTATGTGCGAGAGGATTGCTGGACTCCTCGCCGCCGTAGGGTGGTTCACATGACCGCTGGTTGGTTGCGGCTTCCTCCACCATCAAGTCCATGCTTCCGAAATGAAATAACTAACTAATCCCACTTCCGACATGAAATGGTCACCGGTACGAGAGGCCGTGGTATATGGTTAAGCTGTCTGATAGACATTCCTCTCCCCCTGGATAAATATGGAAATCCTAGCTTCTGTTGGCATTGGTGTAATCTTGGGCTTTACCTATGCAGCACTTCTATCAGTGAATTTTTATGGCACTCGATTTTATGAAATTAGAGTACGAAAACACGTATATGAATTACGTTTAAGATGATGTGACAAACTATTTTACGGTTCCAAAGAGTTTGGAGCGAATTCCACTCTGATAGTGTTATATTTTTCGATCAGCTTTCAACCACATTAAGGCACTTTTACACTATCACATTGTTATTTTTAGGTTTTTATTTCAAGTCTGAAAGATTTTGTTTTCTCAACGGCATTGTAAGCGAGAAACTAATAAATGCAAAGTAGCATCTAGTTCTCGTATAACCCCTAAAACAGTCTGCAGATGCACTTCCGAAAGAGACAAGACGTTGTGAGAAATAAACGGATCAATTGCATTGTTATGTCATAAACGATGTCAGAGCCAATAGCTGAATAATGGTTTAGTTATTGTTAGATTAGTTTAAGGCTGGTTTTATCAATTTTTATCACTGATATGTTAGCATTTTTTATATTTTATTCGTGCCCTGGCAAGTCACGAATGAAATGTGGTGGGTCACTTTGTGACCCGCGGGTCAGTGGTTCCCCATCCCCGCACTACACCATTGCACCCTTAGATACCTGTTTCTATTTTATTACTAAATCAAAATAACATTGTAAAAAATAAATATTGGTTAGTAAACCTGATCTGATTTTTGTCAGGCTGAGAGATTTTCTTCAAAGTCAAATTGACGATTGTTCAGTGAGATGTTCCGCTGCAAAATGCACAAATGAAGAAGAACATATATCTGGTAACAGTTTAGTTCAAAAGATTGAGCAAAAACGAGCTGATGTGCTTGATGAAAAAGCGAGACAAATGTTGAAAGATGATGTAGTAAAAACGTGAGTTAATTTATTTTGTTCAAATGCTTTTTGGACTTTGTAAATTGAGTACATATTAATGATGTACAGTTTGTTATATATTCACCATTAAAAGATAACCCTCAATGACAAATTCCTCAGTAAGATGAGCCAACTGTCAATCGATAATTACAATATAAAATAGAATTTTAGCTGCCAACTATTATCCATGCTATTCTAAATTTTTCGGTTAGTATTATTATACTAATCTACTTTCCAGATTACTCTATTCTCGCGAAGCTCTTCATTCTGTATATCCAAATATGTTTCCACCGCTCAATGAAGATCAGGAACTGTCTGCAAGTCTCAGGACTAACATAAGAGAAAAATTGGCAAAGCTACATGAAACTAATAAAAAAGTATGTGATATCAAATGAGTCCTTCTAATTTATTAACCATCGATGAAAAACGCATAGCATACTAAATCAAATTAATCCAAATTTTATTGAACACCTTCACTGACAAGAGGTATTCTATGTAGAATTTAGGCACTTCTGTCAGGTACTTCTTCCCTTTATGTATAAATTATGTGCGTGAAATTTATTCATCTCAGGGTGCTATACCCAACCGGAAATTTTGCGCTCTAAAAAGGTAGTACTAATCTACATATCTATTGACTGCCTGTCCAGTGCCTTGTATGGAGGAAAGTACAAAAAATCACATTTAAAAGTTATATTCTAACATATTTCGGTTGTGCCGTTTGATCAAAGATCCCTGCTCACATGGGTAACTAATCTTATAACAAATATTCAAGAATGCAAACAAAAACACAATGATATGGTTATCAATAAGTAGAACATGCTGAAACATGTAACCCAGAGGTCTAACCTAGATATAGTTGTAGTCGCCTTTTGAACATACCTATATATTTGGCTTCTAATTTGTGGTTATTCTGACATATCCCTTTTTAACATTGGAAATGGAATAAAAATCAATCTCATGGTCATCAAATATGAATTTCTCATTTGTAATTCACTATGATGATGGTTTTCAAATTGAGATGGGGAGTTCTTTGTCGAATAAAATGTTGTTCATTAACGTTTTCCATTGTACCAACCTTTTCAGATTTTAGATTTGCAAGATAAAAAGACAAAGTTAAGACAAAGACATCATCAACTTGATTTGGAGTAAGTTAAACAGTTACATTAATAAGAATACAATATTCTAAGTGAAAAGAATCAGATGTGACATCTTGTTCTGTTTTGAGTTAGTGTTTGGTGGCATTCTATGCTCATTTCTGCTCCTAATTCAAACTTTCTTCATGAATTGTAAGTGTATATTTTGTACATGGTGCGCCCCAGTTAATAATTCTATTGTATTTAATTTCATCGATTACATACTCACAGAGTCTATTGAATGGTAATTCTTAATTAGGTATTGGGATGGTGTCTCTACATTAAGCTTGTATGCTGCCCCATGTTTATATATCCCTGTATTTACCTTCTCCATGTTTGAATAACCAGAATACGAAAGATTATCAGTGAAAATAAAGAAAGTATGAACCTTCTACAAATTTCAAATAAGACAAATAATCAAGAAGTACTAAGGCGGGAGTGTGAACTCAAATATCCGGAGGTAATAAATTTACACTTGCATAATCTGATAAGCATTGTGAACTGCTTTTATCGGCGCTCCAGAAGTATGTGTACCGATATGAAGGTAACTAATTTTGTTCACCTACTCAAGTTGTGTAAAGAGACTGAAGTCTATGGGCAGGGCTGTATTCACTTGGCTAACACAATCAGTCCCTGAACTTGTAATAGAACTAAAATAAGGAAAATCAGAATAAAATTATGGCCTAACCTGGTACACATACTACGAGAGTACCCTTTTATCAGGGGTATTCTGAAAAGAAAGAGTTAGTCAGTCATCTTGTGTCTATAAATAAAATAGGTAAAAAAGTATTTTAAATCGAGTGGTATAAATTACAATGGGAAGATAAACTACTGAAAATGTGGCGTGATTGTAAAGTTTTCAGGGGGAAATCTATTTACTTTAAACATCTATAAACATTGTTGAAAGAATATCTTTAACAAGGGATTCATGGAATAATTCAAAGGCTTTCAGACTGTCACTCTCGTGCTTATTCCAATATCATTGTTTTGACTTGTTATTTTATTTTACATGTCTCGAATTATTCAATCACTGATACAACATGCTTGTTTTTTAAGGTCCAAGAAGCAAAAGTAGATCTTGAAAAGGAGGTCAAACAATTGAGAACGGTGAAATATATTTTCCAATGTTTAATACAAGCTTCGAAATTAGACTGGTTTGAGGATAAGGAACTGTATGAACTCGTCATTCAGCTTGGACAAAATGATGACGATTTGACCGAACCTGGAGATTGAGTTTCAAGATTTTGCCATCTTGGGATCTCTTTCTATATGGTAGTGGGAAATCTGACATAGCTGGCTCATGCAGAGGCGCTATTCGACAGTTACAACTTGGCCATAGTTATGTACTGTAAAAACTACCGGTATGTCACATGCCTGATGATTTAGTTACACTTGCTAATTTCACTATATGATGCCATTGCTGCTTTACATGTCAAATTTTTTTTTTATTAGCGAAATATTTTGTATACAGTTGGTGTGTACTTTCTTTATACAGCGATGAAATAGTGGAAAGAATAAAAAATTTTATATGGCGATAAAATAAAGAGAAGAAAGATAACCTAAAGGTATATCCATGATTCTTTTCTTATAAAAATCAGAGCAAGGTTCAAGGTCTCAACTTAGATCGAAGTAAGCCTACTGTGTACCAATAGAAGAACTGTAAACAGCTCTAGTTGTATGTCAGTTTCCCCTTACAAGCAGAGGTACCAATAGATATCAAGTTGGCACAAAACAATTGAAGTCAGCTCAACACTGTCAGGAAAACTTATGAGTGAATTGAAGATCCGCTTAGGAAGTTCTTGTGAGATTGGTACTTTGCGGACGTGCAGGACTCCATACAGAGTATGAATAATATTTATGGCTACTCTGGGGAATGATACATACATACAATGATCAAATATTTTAGTGGGGTAGGCAGGCATGCAATATGTTTCTGCAATAATAAAAGGCAGATAAACATACTGTCATCACCTTGCAAGACTTTGAGAGGGAAAGTTTGCGCATCTGATCAGATGTTTAAAGACTAGGTAACAAGAATGAAAGTCTCAGTGTATCAGCATGTGCACCGGTATATCCCGACAAGCATCAGTACGATTACGTGACCTAATCGTAAGGAGTACCACTGTCAAGACATTAACGGAGTCTGATATGGAAATAGTTGCAAAGTTATTCGCCGCAAGATTTTCATGCTATGTATAAGACCAGTTAAGCCGTTACCGACCAGTGGCTACGTGAACAAGGAGTAGCTTCGCAGGTTAGAACTTGTGAGATTCTAACTGCGACCCCAAACGCACAGCTTGACGCGTCTACCTTGGACCTGACAAAATCACGACCTGGGAGAAAAGTTATAATATGGCGCGGCGGTGTGGCTCAACGGGCTAAGCGTTAGGAATACGCTCGCCACCGCACCTCTAATTACTCTGCGTGGGTTCGCAGGTTCGAATCCCATGCAGGGATGGTTATGTGCGAGAGGATTGCTGGACTCCTCGCCGTCGTTGGGTGGTTCACGTAACCGCTGGTCGGTTACGGCTTCCTCCACCACCAAGTCCATGCTTCCGAAAACAAACAATACAGTAAAAACTAATCCCATACCCGACTTGGAATGGTAACAGGACGAGAGGCCGTGGTTCGCCATATGGATAGGCCGTCTTATCGGCTTTCCTCTCCCCCGGGATAAATATGTAAATCCTATCCTATCCTAATAATAAGTACGTATATTTCTCCTGAAAACTCCGTATTCAGCATAACAGATAAAATGATTGATAAAAACTGATTATGAACTCAGGAGAGCAAACAAGACCTTAGATAATGTTTAATACGTACCGGTACCGAATATAAGGTTTTGACAAAAAGAAGTGGTTCACTCACCTAAAATATTTAAATTAATTCACCCACATACACAACCACAGAGATATTATAAAGAAAAACGCGATGAACCTAAGATAAATTCCACATTACCCTTATTTATTGTGAAGTAACCTGCAAACGAAAAATAAATCTGCCAGTAGATGTTTCATTTATTGCATGCTGAATTATTAATTATAGACAGAGAAATAGTTTAATTGCTTTGAGGGGGTATATTGTCATTATATAGTGATGGTTGGGCGATCTAAGAGGAAATTCTGTTACGGGCGCAGAAGAAATTACCACATCATGCAAAAATACCCAAATTTGCAAGTGAGGAGTGTCCCAACTTTTTTCATCCATCACCAAGAAGTATATTAGCCTTGAAGCTATGAACGTTGGTCAATTGCAATTGTGTTCCAAGTTTTCCTCAAAAAGAATAATAATATTCTTAGAGAAGTCGAGACACCTAAGCCAGTCGTTTACGTACGCTAGAAACAATAACGGGCCAAGTAAACATCCTTGAGGAACTCAAGCGTTATTAGAGAGTGAATTGTTATATTGCAACTTGTTTTCTGTCTTGCAGATAGCTCCTGATCCAATGGAATGAGGCCTCTCTAATTTCATAATGATAGGCTTAAAAGGAAAGAATGGTCAATTGTGTCAAAGCCTTCAAATGCCTTGGTCAGCTCATGTAGACTACCAAAACATTATCAAGCATAGAAGTGGAGTGTTGCTTGCGGAAACCGAACTGATGCGAGCATAAAATATTATTGCTTTCAAAATAGTTTGACATCCTGTAATTCCTGATATACATTATTTTTTACGAATTTTGGAAAACGACGGTAGAAGATTAATGTAAAATCTAGAAAAAAACTGTTTAAACTTTTTAAAAACTGGAAGAACTTTTGATGTCTCTCGATAAATATTCCACAAGTCTCTAGATAGTGAGAAGTTGTCTATATATGTCAAGATGTCAATGATATGTCCAGGAACATATTTTGAAATTTTGAATGGAATCCCATCGATTCCAAAACTTGACTTGAGCTTCAGTTCGCGTGCGAGGTGCGATGTTTTTTTTAATTTCTAATGATGTACTAACTACGTCTCATGAAAAATAAGCTTGAGATGTAAAATTGAGTCTTATCACTAGTATTTTCCGATTCAGTTTTTAGTTAATATTCGATGTTAATAACCTAGTTCGTTTACCGGTTTGTCTCCGCCTCCGAGTGCATCTTTTATTTCACCACGTGACGCCACCCGGGAAAACCCCTCAGGAAATTGAGGAGCATTTGTTCTGTAGGTCGCTGAACGACTTTAGTACGAGTGCTGATATCGTTTCTTTTACATCCAAAGCAAATTTCGGAAGCAAACCTCGACAATTCGAAAACAGCATGGAAATGGAACGTTCAAGCGTTGATCTAATACTTCAACTATTTGATATTGGGGCTGTTAAGTTTGGATCATTCAAGTTGAAGAGTGGGATAACCTCGCCTGTATATTTTGATCTCAGGGTAGGTATATTTTTTTTAATGAAGCCACATACTTTATAGTGTGTACGTTATAGTGTCATATTATTACTCACATCTTTACATGGTGCAGTTGTGTGTGAAGAATGCTCTATCAAACTTTAATGAAAACTAAAATTCAATGTTACATTTTATTTCCATAATTTTTAATTAGACTACATTAAATATATTTCGGTGAAGTTTAGGATAAATTTACCTTTTTTGCTGAAAAATTTTTCACATAGAAACTTTTTTATTTAAATATCTGTTCGAAGTTTGGTGATTATTTAGTTGAACTAGGATTGCTAATTGGCGTATTGATGTCTTTTTAGGTTATCATTTCATATCCAGACATTCTGATTGCTGTTTGTGAAATTATGTGGAAACACATTGAATCGAATCGAGAAAAATTTAGAGTTATTTGTGGAGTTCCATATACTGCCTTACCCATTGCAACAGTTATTTGTACTACAAATAAATTTCCTATGGTGATTCGTCGTAAAGAAGCGAAAGATTATGGAACAATGAAAATAATTGAAGGAGTCTTTGAGCAAGGTGGTTTATTCACTCGTCATATGCTATTTAATTGGGTAGCCAACTTCTATGGGGAATTATTCAGAAGCATCTATCAATACCTTTTCAAACAAGGAAAATGCATCTGCTGAATCTATTTTATTGAAAAAAAACTAAAATTGAATGATAAATTCTGGGCTAATAATAAAGGATAGGTTTCAATATGTCTCTCAATATATCATCTTCCTTATTTCTTTTAATTTTATGGAAACTTGTTTAAAAATAATTTTAAATTGGTTTTAATAAATACTGGAAAGAGGGGTAGTTTGGGCGTTGTCTAACCAGCAACAGTGACTGCTTCTTTATCTGCATTGTTAGTGCTTGACGAATTGATCATCATTCACACCTATAATTACCTATATGGTAAATCCATATATAACTGTTCTCGACAATCAATCAATGGTTCTCAAACATTCATGAATCATGACCCTTTCCCAAGATTTCTGTGGCCTCCAAAAATCGCTGTGGCCCTGTAGAAGAGGCCTAGTTTGAGAAACACTCTGGTAGAAATTGTCCTAACCCCAGTATCAAATTACCTTAAACAATCTAATATTACAACTTTCTCATTAGTAGTGTTCTAGAATATTTATGCCATAAAAATTTTATTTCAGGTAGTAATTGTTTGATAGTTGAGGATGTAGTAACAAGTGGATCAAGTGTTTGGGAAACAACTGTCTCATTACAAGATGCAGGACTCACTGTCACCGATGCCATTGTCTTACTTAACAGGCAACAAGGAGGTTGGTTTGATGGTCTTAAAACTGATGAGTTGTTCTTGTTATTTGTAGTACCTTTATCACTGAAGCTGAATTGTTCATTTTGATATGTACAGTTGGAGTTCTTCAATTTCAGCTTATTACACAAATTCTTTGTGGTTGCATGGGTGAAATTGATATGTGCCATACTTAGCTACAGACGTGCTAATTTCTACTCTCCTTTAGGCAATGGTAAATAACTTTAAAACTTTAATTGATTAATCCCAATCGAAGTAACTAAATATTATGTATTTTTCACAAGTACAGTATATTGAAATATCGATATCTCAAGTAGCCTATGATTAAATTAATTTAGAAATACAAACCTCAATGTTATTAAATATTTTAGAATAATTTCCAATTTAGCATTCCTAGGCCTCCCACCTCGATCACTTTACTTTGGTATTCAACTAACTAAAAACATTGGGGAAAACCCAAGATAGAAACACAACCAGATATTGTTATATAAATATTCTTCAGGCAAGATCACAATCATGTGCTTTAAATCATATTTTATTTCCAGTATATGTCAAGACTAGATTGCAATTGAAGTTTTAGATTTTTTAATCTTCATGTATGTTTACCAACTTCTCAACTTTATATTGTTACAGGACGGGAAATGCTGGAATCAAGAGGCATTACTTTGCATTCTATATTCACTCTTACGGAAGTTGTTACATGTTTAAATAAAGAGAAAAAGATTTCTGATAGCATGGTATCAGAGGTACATGATTTTGATTTGAAACATTGCATTATCAAAACAACCAATGCTTTAATGCCTATTGAATTATTGTCGGAATTTCAAACCCCTTATTTCTGGGAGTTTCACAATAGGACTCCAGGTCCAAGTTAGGACTCTTCTTTCTTTGTGCGCAAGAATAGGAACAGACAATCAATCACACTGCAGGTTTCAGTTTATTACATTCAAGGATATTACTCCTTATTGTTGGAGAATTGTTTATGTGACCATATTTACCCACTATGCACTATTCTAAATTACCTCACCCTAAACTTGGAGTTGTATTCAAACTAGATCGGTGGTTCTCAAACTTCATAAGCTGCATCCCCTTTTGGAATTTGTCAAGTTGCGCGCCCCACCTCAAATATAACTAGCTAAGAATGAGCTACAAATAACAGATAGTAAGGTGAAAGTATGTTTTATTTAAAAAAACTGATTAAAATATATGGATGGAACTTAAATATCCAAAATAAGGTGAGCAAGATCAAATCTAACAAATATTTTTATTAGTTTTAATTAGCTTCACGCCCCCTTAAAAAATTGTTTACGCCCCTTTTGTGGGAAGCGCCCCACCGCTTGATAACCATGGAACTAGCTGTTTCAGTTCACTATATGATTATGCTTTTCTATTTTCTCCGGTGGATTATAAAATTATTATATCTTATACCACAAACAGATTCTAATTATTTCAGGTCAAAGACTTCATTGCAAATAATAATACCTTCACACCAAACCCAAACATGGATGTTAAATTAAGAAGAAAAAGCCAAGAAGATGCCACTGTGAAAAGTTACAGAAGTTCAGTCAGTATCTATGTATATATAATGCTCGGATAAAAATTAAAATTACAGTAGTCATGATCAGGGATGTTCAGAGTGAATCAAATTTTAGGATCGAATAAAAATTAATTAAATCCAATATTTTGAATGCTTGATTTTAGGAATAAGTTCGAATAGTTTACTTTGAAAATGTTATCATTTTGACCAATTATTTAATTTAATCTTCAAAATCTGTAGGAAATAGAAAACCTACCCAATTAATGATTTTCTCATCTTATTTTCACTGTTAAATTCGAACCCATTGAATTCATATGTCTTCTGTGTTTTCCATGCTGACTTTAATTCATTTTAGAGTATATACGGAATAATTATATTAGTAGGTTTCAAAAAAGTAGATTTTTTGATTTTGGCCTTCCTGGCCATTATTGACGTATGTCGTAATGACGTACGTCCTCTTGACGTAGCTATAAATGTTTGAAATAAAATTTGATTGTGACATGGAGATCATATTGATTACTGGGTACAATATATCTCTGGTGTTTGGTCTCAATTAATGGCTGTATAACAGCTTATGGCAAGGGTACTCAAACCTCTATTGTCTCGATTAGACCTTGACACATTTAAGTGAAACTTACCCCTCAGCTGCGATGACTGTATATTCCATGTATGCTGGAATTGTGAATTGTGATATATAAAATGGTGGCGTCAGGCTAGACAGTCTTTCTCCAGCAAAATAATAACAACATCTATTGTGTAACGGAGGGCATTGCAATCCCAACAATGTTGCAATATACTCTGTGGGAATAGGCCATATTTGGTCATGTACTTTCTTGCTTGAAAAATTTACCCGCTTGAAAACCATACTTCACACCACTCATGATCGCTTCGATTTTTAGAAATCAGTCTGGTTTCAACTTCACTCCTTGTAATAAATTTTTTTTATAGTCTATGAGGTAACTTGAAAAAAATTTAGAACATATTCTGGAGAGAACATACCTTTTGTAACTTCTGAAGAGAGAACACAACTTTTGACAACTTTGCAATAATACGCTAACAGAAAAGTCAAATAATGTTTCTTCATTATTGTAAAAGTAACTAAGAAATTTTATTTTTTCAGATACCTGACATTGAACAAGTCACATATGAATCCCGTGGTGTGCTTTGCAAAAATGAAGTAGCTGCAAGAATCTTCCGTATCATACATGATAAGCAAACTAACTTGTGTTTATCAGGTGATGTCGACAGTGCAGTGGAATTGCTTGAAATTGCTGATGTTTGTGGTCAGTTGTTGATGACATAGCTCAAATTGTTTATCACCGATAAAAGAATATATTAGAGTAGTATTTCCGAAACTGCGGCCCGCTGGCCAATTATGGCTCGCGTAACGATTTAATACAATCTGCTGATCAAATGTTTTTTTTTCTAGTGCTCTAGATACCGCCAACTTTTTTACGTCATTATTACAGCATGTGTATATTTGTAATAATTCAGTTCGGTATCTAAACAATTTGGTATCCCAATTATACGTACCGGTATCGTCCCCTTGCGGACATTCCCCTCTCCTGGTGCACGAATATCCTACAGCCTCTAATTTTGGCCTACAATCAATCAACTTTGGGAACCATTATATTAAAAAAATGAAGTATATGGTCATGTGCCAAAGCCCTCACTGCCAGAGTGATTTGTGTGATAATATTGCAACTTCCAACAATTATGCCCATGTTCATACAACATAACCATATATGCGGTTGTATTCAAACATTGTTAGGTCCCATTTGTGGCTTAACACTTCTTTCTAGTTTAAATATTAAATTTCGAGACTAGTGTTGAAAAATTATATGCGGCCAAGCATGAAGTATATATAATTTTTAATCTAGATTTTATGTCCAGTCATCATGTGTCCAAAATAAAATGAACAATGAAGGTCTTGCTTTTCGAATGTTACACAGGTTCAAATTGTTTATAAGCATTGCTTGATAATGGGCCTTTAATTGGGAAAAATATCTCATCTTTTCACACCATAAGATTTGTTGATATATCTTGCCATGGTACATGACCCTCTATAAGGATATTATTACTAGGTATTTGTTAAAAACAATTTTGCTTCATTGCTTGTGGAACAAAATTTTCATTTATGTGAAGTTTATTCACTTATTACAGGTCCTCACATCTGCATATTGAAGACTCATATTGATATTATTGATCACTTGACACCAAATATCAGCAAAGCATTGACTGAATTGTCAAAAAAACACAATTTTATTATTTTTGAAGATAGAAAATTTGCAGATATTGGAAGCACAGTCAGGCAACAATATTCTGGTAAGAAGAGTTTTGTTTGGTCATTTATTGAACACAATGTGGATCTATGGATCATTTTACTTGTTGTTTTCCTTGTTGTTGTTGTAATAGTTGTTGTTGTGAAAAATCGCTTTTCTTCGCAACCAATGGTTCAATCAATTTCAAATTTCATAAAGATGGCTGAAGCCACTGGACAGATATTACTTCCATTTTTGCCATTCGAGTCAGATTGGACCCGATATTTCCCCCAAACTTTTGCTGTTTTATTTTAATTCAGCGTTTCTCTAAACGTTTTTTGTCGCGAAATACCTACACTTTATATCTTGCCTCGCGGAACACCAAGAAATTAGACGGTAAAAAAAGCGTTTAATGGATTTACTTTGTGCATCAACTTGCACAACCGGCCCATCACAGCATCTTTTAAGGCTTCCAGTTTTAAGCTAACAATCCATTGAGAAAGATGGTTTCCAAACAAGTGAGCCTATGGAAAAGTTAAAAAGTTTGTTGTAAACTTGATAATTGAAAAATTAGTCCGACGGTTAACGAAAACGCCATGCTTTTCAGACTGCTTGTCAGCCTATTTAGAAAGCAAGGCCGGTCCGCCTGTCTTTGAGAGAAAAATTTACATCCTAGAGTCGTCTAAGTTCGTTCGAGATCGCCATGATGACCAAATAGGTCGCAATTTTGATTCCTATCTCGTGGAACACTTCAAAGAAGCATTTTGAGAAACATTGTTTCAATTCACGGATACCACTTTTCATGAAGTATGGGAACCCATTTATACGGTACCGTCATGTTTGGCTGCCTTCATTTGTTTACTGATCTTTTCAGCAAGCTCATTGCTAAGCAAATGCCTTGCTGTACCAGCACCGATAGGCGACTTTTGTGTTTACAAGAGGGTAATGCTGCATTACCCTCTTGTTTATTGATGACTATTTTCATAAACCTAACCCTATATATTTTGTTACACTTGAATTATTATCAATTTATTTTCTGTATATTTTGTTAAGCCGGGAGCTATTCAATATCAGAATGGGCCGACTTAACAAATGCACACAGCTTGCCTGGGCCTGGTGTGATCGAAGGTTTAAAAGCAGCCGTACAGAATCGTAAAGACCGTGCATGTCTTCTGATTGCTGAAATGAGTTCAAAGGTTTGATCCCAATTTCTAGTTAGTTTTCGTTTTCTCTGTAGTTGTTACAAACATGCATATGAGAAAAGTTGGGGTCACTATCATGTGTGTTTTAAAGTGCTAAATTGCTATTTTATACATCGGAAAAAATCCATCCTCATAAATTTTTACGACTCATCAGTAACAATTGATTCATATTCATTTTTTTTTCATGTCAAACTATTAGATTTGTTTTAACATGTTGTCATAAAAAGCAAAATCATTTTATCCTCATTGTAAATTTTGACTCAAATTAAACAAAAATCACTTTTTGTAGAAATTTTGAAAAATCGTCGAAATGAGTTTGTTTGTTTAAATTTCAGTATAAGATCTAATTGTCAATTATGATTGATTTTTGTTTATTCAAAATTTTAAGAGATTGATTTTGTAATACCAAACTGTAGAAGAATCGTAGGAACCATATCAGTTTTGCTAATTACATTACGGCAGTTTTATCATCAAAGAATCACTGTTAGATGTGACACACTTTATGACATATGATATATATTCCCTGCTTTTTGAGTAATGTAAAGTAAGTGAGCACCAGAAACTGGCTCTTACATCTGATTATAACTGTTTCATGCACTTTATATGATTTTTCTCATCCACAAAAAGTGTGTACCATCACATGGACTAAATATGGGTGCAGTGGGTAAAGCATTCGACTTGACCGTGATGCCATCGTAGGTTAAAATCATGAGTTCAAATTCTGTGACCATCACCACACCTAGGGTGTAATAACTTAAGTAAGCCATGCCAAACCAAAAAGGTTTCCTATGTGTGCAGAGCCTAATTCTGAGCGAACGACATATGGGTACACTGTTAAAAGAATAAATAATACTGCAGACATACCCTTTTCATAATTTTTGCTTCGAAATGCAATTTTGCAGGGAAATCTAGCTGATGCAAATTACACTAAAGCAACTGTGAAAATGGCCGAAGATCATCGTGATTTTGTAATCGGTTTTGTTTCAACTTCAAAAGTTACAACTGATCCTACTTTCCTGCACATGACCCCTGGTGAGATTGGGAATACATAGTACTATAGTAGTAATCTTTTATTTGATTATTTTCATATGAAAAAAATTGATATTCTTGTATTCCGCTTTGTAATACCATTTCATATTAGAATTGCTGAAAATGCAAATTTCACATAAAACAGTAATTTTGCCATCTTTCTACTTCTTATATAATGTTAATTGTGCGTGCTGAAAGTTAGTTTAGAAACTAAGTCGGGAAAATAAGTGCTATTTACGGTACTCCTGTAGTGTGTGTACCAGGTTAGGTTTAGGTCATAATTTTATTCCGATTTCCCTTATTTTTGTTCTATTACGAGTTCGGGGACTGTCGGTGTTAGCCAAGTGAATATACCCCCAGCCCATAGGCTTCAGTCCCTTTACACAACTTGATGTAAAGTAGGCGAACAAAATTAGTTACCTCTATATTGGTTTGGAGCGCCCTATTTTCTCTCATTTCAGCCAAATTCAGCCATTTTGATTGCCTTCTCTCCTATGGTTTCAATGGTCCTAGCAAGAAGGACATCTACTTGTTATGTTTATTATGCAATGTTAAACAGTGAACATAATTCAAAACAAAATCATTTTTCCTTGTGTAGAATTCAAGTATTGAATTACACTTCTGTATTTAAAGAATGTATAAGGTTACAAGTCATGAAGGGATGACCTTGTTATAAATTTTATTTTATTTGATTCACATTCAGAGATTGAATAACACTTCAAAGAATGCTGACGTCATTGTGAAATATTACATAACCTTTGAATTAATAGGAAAAAAATATGATCATTAATATTGTATTTCTGACAATTCTCCGCAAATTATTAGGTTTAGTCCTTGCAACTCTTTTTTAAGTTTTTTAAAAGGAACTACTTTCCACTATTATACAATGAATGGATTATTCATCCAACTACAAAAATTTTTTTTTGCAATTTCTAGAGACATTTAAAAGAAGTATGTTTTCTAGACTCTAATTCAAGTCATTGTTAGTAATAATTAGTTCATGGTGTATTTGTTATAGGCCCAAAGCCATATGACAACGATCCATGACACTCCTTAGTGATATATAAAAGAGCATTATGACATTAACCATAGCAAGTATATATTATTGTTATGAAAAGTTGGTAACAGCTGAAACAAAACAACTGTTTAATTAGACTCAGGGAAACTTCTTATATGAAGTGAATTCTAAAATACAGAACTTTTTGGAGTCAGAAGTCAAACACCTGACAATGTAATTCTGTTGATGAGAGGGAAAGTTCTACTACCATGAGAGAATATCTGGCACTAAATTTTTAATCTCAATACAGGAAAAGCCTGACTTTTCCAACCAGCCTTGAGTTGAGACAACACCTAATCTGCAATAGACTCAATTTTACATGCTATCACAAGAAATAACAAGTGCATATCTTTCATAACTAAAATAAAAAGCTTTAGTAAGCTTGATACTAAGAGAGAAGGTTAAAACCTCCAAAGTGACTTTAAAACAGGGCTTTATATCCTATTTTATCAGTTTCAAACCTCTTGAAGCCATCTGATACAAACTAGTTACTTATGTAACCGCCAATTGCTTGTAAATAATTTTCAACCTATATTTCAAAATTATGTTTTTTTTACAGGTGTGAAACTTCAGCCAGGAGATGGTCAACTGGGACAACAATATCTCACACCTGATGAAGTTATCTGTAAACGAAAATGCGACATTATTATTGTAGGAAGAGGAATTACTCTTGCAGCAAACAGACTCCAAGCAGCTATAGAGTATAAAAATGCTGGATGGAAGGCTTATTTGGACAGAGTAAATGCGTAAAGTATTACCGGTACCTCCCCCTTGACTTCGTATTTTTTCAGGCTATGCCAGTAATTCCTATTGATTTGCTTATAAGAGATACAAAATTTAAAGCGAAAATGTACATTTTTACACCGAATTATGCATTGCTGTATCAGATTGCAATGGTATACTAAGTTTATTCTGTCTTAAGTCACAGTAAATTGCTAAACTTGTTGAAATTACCTATCTGTTGGTCTTCCATTTTGGAATTTTGTACCGGTCTTTAAAATTCTGGCTGTATCATCGCCTTCTGGCGCCAATTTGCAAAGGCGTGCTGAAATTCCACTGTTTATGTTTTGAATTACTATATTGTGCTACGTTATAATTCGATTACGGTTTAACTTCAAAATCTGGTATTTCACTAATCGCATTCAAAGCCTGTTGAAAACATTATTGTTTTTTAAATTTTGAAGATTGCTTACCTGGATTTTGTCATTAATTACACATTTTTCCATTTAAAAAACTCAATGTTACAACTTTCAAACTTAAAAACAGGAAAGTGTAAATGCTAGACCTGACATGGGTAAACTACGGCCGCGGGCCAAATTTGGCCCGTCGGGTAATTCAATCTGGCCTGCCTGATGCTGCCACAACCAAACTAAAACCAAATTTTGATGTTTTAGTTAAAAATAACTCAAGGATTTGTTGAAATTGCATTTAAATTTAGTTTCGGCATTAGCCCTATTGTTTTCCACTTTTGTTTTTGTAACACTGTAAATATTGTTCATAAAAAGTGTAACTTTTACGTCACACTTACATGTCCTGCCAGTCTGGATGGGCAGAATTCCTGATCCCTGCTTCAAAAACCTTGCCAGCCTCTGAGCTAGACCCATAATAATTATCCAATGTATTTGCGTTATTTTTCACTGCTTTGCCACAGCAACATGAGCATGTATAACTGCTATGCTTAATCACTGTTGTGTTATATGTCACTGCCTTAGTTAATATTAGCATTCCTATAAACAAATTTTTTGATGGCATTTTTTAAAATACTCATTGCTGTGTTTGCTTTACCTTACGCCCGTGCTACTCCAAGCATATAATCTGTATAATAATTTACCTAATTCAAACATAGGTAGTTTCAAATTTTTGAAGACAAACTTCCAGACATCTTGTATTAGCATTTAATGGACAAAAGCTGGAAATGGTACATAATTTGTTTTCTCCTGACATATATGGCATTGAAAATGGATATATGTGGCAGAAGACCCTTATGTATTTTGCCTACATTTACCATGATTGCGTTGTAAATGCCTTCTTCATTTGGTTGATCAGAAAATGATATTGTCAGTATTATCAATAGATGAATCTTCAAGTGGGTACACTAAAAAGCATTTACCTGTCGATTTTCTATTCATTGTTCATACTTTTACCATTCTTTCGTCATAATAGCAGAAATGGATGTTATCTTTGTAAAAGGCACAGTACCTGCCTAACAGTATGAGAAAATAATAAACACTGATGCATATTGTGGACCAGAAATGTCATTCAGTTGCATGCGTACTTGTCAAATACTTTCCGTTCGCTTATATTTAAAGTCATTAATCCGATTTATATTAGTTAACATGTGCCAGCGAATAATTTTTTTGCCCCGCTGATTTGTTATTTTGGTGTTTATTGCGTTCTCCAAACCCCTTTTCAGCAATAAAATTGTCTCCTTGAATTTGACGAAACATTGTTCTTATCGTTAAGCTCATTAGTTAGATAACGTACTATAGAAACCCCAAAATCTTATTCTCTTTCATCCACGGACGAGAAAATAAGCCGTTGAATGAAAGGTGAATGGATATCAGTTTACATATTTTGTATATTTGGAAAGCTCTTAATTCTCTACTTTGTAATTTTGTTTTTGATGAATAAAAATATAAGACATCAACCGAAAATAAGCCCTAGTGTTATTTTTCGGAAGAAAATTGAAATAAGACCCTGTTTTATTTTCGGGGAAACACGGTAGTTGTTCATGTATTCGCATCTGTGTCATCTATTATGAAATACTTTCGCAACACGCTACAAGATTTTATTTTTTTTAGTACATTAATCGAAGTGGTAAATCGCAATTTACTGGATTTTTCTCTATTTCGTATATTTGCCCAAACGTATCCCAAAGTCAAGCCGCGCTGGTTGCTGGTCGAGTCATGTCGAGTCATGTTGTTCATGGATGCATGGACTTGATGGTAGAGGAAGCCGTAACCAACCCGAGGTTACGTGAGCCAGCCCATTGTGGGGAGTCCAGCAATCTTCTCGCACGTAATTATCCACCGCGGGATGCGAGCTTACGCAGCGTAATTCACTCAAACTCACTCTTGACATACCAAGACTGATCGTGAATACAAATTCCCGAGTTCAAATTCGTAGAAACCGGAAGCGAGCCTATTATATTTGACAAATACTTCCGATCACATGACGTATCATACTTGCAAACTCTCCAAAGCGCACAAAACACCATGTAAATACTTCCTGCTCAATTCCTAATAACTTGTGCGTCTGGGAAACCACTTGTTGAATTCCAAATGTAAAAATAACACTTTGTGACGTCACTTTCCAACGGTGGCATCGGTACCTACCAACCTACCAACGTTGCCTACCAACGGTAGGCAATTCTTAAGGGGGCGTGAAGCTAATCAAAAATAAAAATATTCATTAGATTTGATCTTGCCAGCCTTATTTTGGATATTTACCTTTCAAAACTTCCCATTTATTTCATTATTTACGTCCCATCCACCTATTTTCAACGTGTTTTTTTTTTAATAAAAAACACATTCGCCTCACTATCTGTTATTCGTAGCTATTGTTAGCTAGTTATTTGGAGGTGGGGCACGTGATTTGACAAATTCTAATAAGGTATCTCGGCTTTAAAAGTTTGAGAACCACTGCTCTAATTGTTATTAGAAATCCTATCGCTGTTGAGTGACGTTGTGGTATGTCGTTTTTATAAAAATACAGATTGAAACTCGTTAGAGATGTTGTACACGCAGAAACATTGTGGGTGCAACGATAAACTGCTTTAATGATGATATCAATGACTCACGTTACGTTGGATAAGTAACCAAATTTTGACATGCTTTGCTTCTTCATTTGTTATGACAGGGAATCCTTGGCTCTTCTGTCGCGAGTAAATATAACTGACGGGACTGTTGTGTTTACTACTCTTGTGGAATTAATTATGTTATAATTGTATTGCGACATAATGAGAAAATGACGCCTATCTAGATCTAGAGCAGGTGTAGGCACGGTTTTTGAACCAAGGGCCAAAAATTTTGCCCACCTAGATTGGCGGGCCATGTAAGTGTGCCGTAAAAAGTAACATTTCAAAAACAATATTTACAGTGTTACAAAGCAAAGGTGGGAAACAAGATGCCTCGTGCCAAAACTAAATTTAATCGTAATCTCAACAATTTCCTTGGTCTATTTTTAGCTAAAACATCAAAATTCGATTTCGGTTTGGTTGTGGTAACATCACGCGGGCCAGATTGAATTACCCAACGGGCCGGATTTGGCCCGCGGGACGTACTTTGCCCATGTCTGATCTAGACTAGAGTATGTGACCGTCTGCAGACTGTAAAGGTCCAATAATTTTCTACTGTGCCGCATCGGCACAGTTGTCATAAACATTATTTTTCATCAGATAAATAGGACAGGTCTGACAAAGACGGCCGTCTTATGACGAGATTAAGTCATTTATCTGACGTTTTGCCGCCAAATGCAACGGTTAATTGTCATATGATTTGTCAAAATATACAAATTACTTTGGTTATTTCCCACGACAATTCAAAGTAATATCTCAGTCATGAGTAGACATATCATAATATTTATCTGTCAAAACATATTACAACATTGTTGCTCATTTTGACTATAATTTGTCGTTTTCCCCAATAAACATGTTTAAAAATGCGTCACTGAAATATTTTTAGACGGCTGAAAATGGACACGCATTACCACCGTCGGCGCAGTGCGATCTGTCGTCCTATCTTGAACGTAAAACTGTTACCAACTCTCTGAACAACTTCAACAAAGATGTGTTTCTGCGATACATAATGCTCATTGGGTGATGAATTGTCGGCAAGTTGTCACTTGGGGAAATCGTTTGAATAACAACATAGCTAGTGAAATAGGAAACTCACAAAAGTTTCCTAGCCAATGATGTGTACTACGCATGACTGCAAACTTTTTACCTCTTGTTTGAAGGATTGTTCTGTCAAGTTCTTTGCGGTTATGGTGAACAATTTCAATGGACCGGAAAAACAGCTAGCATGTTACCTACCATTTTTTTGATTTATTTTACCTTGTAGATTAGAGATAAGATTGAAAAAGTAACTCGGGTCGGATTGTAAATTACCTGTCGGAATGTGATCTATGACGCTGTGCCAAATGCATTGAAAATGTCACGTACGACTAACTATGTATTTAAATAAATATTCAAATAAATACACACGCTTAAATAGCCCACATCAAGCGGGCTTTGAGAGCAGGCCTAAATGATATCATTGGAAACTATGTTTTCGTGACCCCCAAGTTACGGCCCGACGGTTGGCACATCGTGCTAAGCGTTAGGAATACGCTTGCCACCGCACCTCTGATGGATCTTTTGTACAAATCCCCCACCACTAATGCAAAAATGGTAATGATGGAGGTGTGTAGAATGGTTACGAATTCGTCTACCCTCAAGTTCATGATTCTAAAGCAAATAACTGGCTAACTAAAACCATACTAGACATGGGCTAATGGCCGTGTGGTAAGTCGTTTTATCGGCTTTCCTTTTCAAAATTCATTATCATCATATCATATCAATTCATTATCATTCAAATTTGAAATGAAATATATATTTTGATTTCCGACTTGATCCAAAAATGGTCAAATTGTTATTAGGCGTTCTGACATCATCACCTCGAACAATGCCTGCAACTACTGATAAACAAGGAGTTACTATTTTCGTGAGTACCGTAATCTTTTCGGTTCGACATAGTACTCAATTTATTACTCCTTGATCATAGTAGTGGGCATAGAGATCATTGGTGCAGACATAATTAGGTCCGACATTGTAACCACCAGGTCTTCGTGTCCATATTTGTAAATGGGAAGAATGAATCGGGGATGCGCGGGTTCGATGCTTCTCCTCCAATAACTTATATACATTACCATGAGTTTGCAATATTGCTGAACAACCGCTATGTCGACAGTCTTTATTGGATCTTACATATAGGTTTGTGAACGAAGACACTTTGAATATAGTCTCATTCTTATAGTTGACATAGTCATTGTCCGTGAAATGATTTATTTTGTGATGTTTATTGTTGTCTGACTGGTCTTCACTTAACAATCTTCACTTATCAAATGGTACAAAAATGGGTAAGCAGTTCCATGCCGGGAACAGCAATTGTTTTAGCCAACATCATGTGCAATAAAAGTTTATTCGCGGTGAATCAGTGCAGTTGCTTGGATGTTGTAATAAAAAACTCACGAACCATGGGATATCATCGTCATTTTATGAACATTCGACCAAATCAAAGTGGATACAATTTCGCCTTCCAATATCTTCACATTATACGCTCTCGTATGAGTTTATTAACGATTTAGAAGTGATTGAGAGAAATCCCACTGACTAACACAAGGAAGTCATGAAGATTATTCAACGGGAAGAAGTGCTGGCACGTGACCGGAAACAATGAATACCATGGATTTAAATTACGTCCTGAAAGCAGAAATGACGAACAGAAGTTTCATCACGATTGCTTAATTTATAATACACATTGTTTAATGTAAAGTTAGAACTACTCTCAAAGCTGCGATTCTTGATATATAACTTTTTTTAAATGCAAAACACAGATAATTTTGGTTACATTTGCATTTGGTATTTACTTCATACTACACATCGATATGCTGCAGCTTACTTCACTATTCCTTTGTCGAAACAGTAACTCTAAATTCTTGAAGACACCAGTAAGAGAGGACCGGTATTCAATTTTGAATCTATGATTAGCACAGCGCTCTTAACGGACGATACTAACTTATAGACACTCTCACCATAACTCTCATAATGAGTAGGTATTGGCCACATTAAAGATCACCGTTTCGCATATTTGAATAACAAGAAATACTTGCTTTCCGTGGTTTATTTAATATTTTTTCTCGACGTCGACATATTTATTATTTAGGTCTTGCTAATTTTTACCGCATGTGTTTTGGAATTTAAGTGGAACACCCGGTAAGTCAACGTATGGTGCAATAGGTTCATTCGGCTATACCACTATACCGTCTGCAATTATGGACTTTGGTACGGCATGATGAGTTGAGTATTAAAAAGCGAGATAGTTCAAAAGGTTATGTTAGAGAACTCGTCAATGTGACGTAAATTTTTATAATTTTATTGCAGAGCCATGCAAAATTTCATTCCACAATGAATTTTGTGCATAGCATGAATATCACACTATAAACAAATTGAATGTACGCACGACAATTTTCATACAGAATTCCCCGTTTCCTCATATGACGTAAAAAATACCAAATCTTACTTATTCGGCTATGGAACTATAGATTTGGATATTCTCCTTCATACATCATATCCTACACGAGGATGCGAGTTGACTTGCGAACCATTGCTATAAAATTTATCAACAATTTATTATTCCAATGTGTAACAAGTGAACAGAATACAAATATAACTGACAGTGGTCAACGCGTTGGACTTGTCTATGTTGGAACCGCAGGTTTAAAATCTCACTGAAGGTGTAATAAATTGGGTAGCAATGACGACCCGGAAAGATTCTTACATATCAATGGATGCTTGCTTGTACAGAGCTCTGTTCGGAGTGGAAAACGGGCAAAAACTTAATGTAAAATGAGGTTGAGTACGTACCACTTCCAATATATTACATTACGGGCTATAGAACAAATTGACGACTTTTCGAACACTACCGTAATTGCCTATTTACGAAACTATCCACCCAGCATTGTTATTCATAAAAAGTTGAATCAGAATTGTTAAAACGAGAAAAACAGCACTTGCTAAATCTTGATGTTTGTTAAATGTTGAAAGTTGTTTTTTTCAAAAAGTTTGTGTGAATGTCACGTAATATGAGGTAGTTCGAAAGCGAATATCTGTTTTCACCTCACAGGAAACTAGCGTCATCCTTATGGATATGACGCCACTGATTGTGACTTTGTGAAACTCAGATACTTAAACTTCCTTCCTAATTCAATACAGTCTGCTGAAAACGTCTGCGTACTCTACTTAACATTGAACTTAAAAAACAAGCATAGTATACCTATGAAAATATTTGCCACGGTGAGATATACGTATGAAATCTTCACTATGGTATTTCGAAGCGAATGCGAACTTCATTCAAATGCCACCACCGGTCAAAAACAGCTGATTATTTTTAATGTGGATTGCTTGAATCTTCCCTCCGAGATAAGCCTTCGGATAACCCACTGATACGCTATAAGAGATACTGTCAATTTGTAAGATCGGACTTTCTGCGATTCGAATCATTTTATTTATTACGCTAAACACTGAGATAGCGTGATTCAATGTGTTATAACTTATAACAGGCCACAAAATTAGATTTAGTCATACGTGTCGTTACCTCGGAACGACATTTTTAGATGAAATTTAAAAATGGCTATGGTAGTGCCTACGGCTATTCGTAGTAAGTAGGGCTGGGCATTTCGAATCGAACATTCGACTCGAATATAAAATTATTCGAATCGGTTCCGACGAAAATTTCGAGTCGCCGCCATCTTGTTTTTTTTTCTGTTCGCAAAAGGTCGAAGAGAATTCCTCAATTTTTTTTATTGAAGCCATATTTTTAAAATGCAATTCCGACATACGACTCTTGTCGTCTTATTGAGGTATTGATAAAACACATATTTTATTGTGTGTGAACAATCAGCGAACTGTAGGGGTGGTAAATTTTATGTTTTTATTAATTCATGTGTTTAGAGGACCTATTACAATAAAAAGTCACCTTCACTTACATATCTCGTAAGTATTCGAGATTTGATTCGAAAAAAATACTCGATTTGATTCTGAAATCATCAGGTATTTGAAAATTACCAGCCTTATAGTAGTAAGGAATTCTGTCTTCATTTACATAATGTACCTATAGACAGCAGAATTTCAACACAATAGACTGAATAGAGGACCTTGATCGCGAGCCAACAATGAATCAAAAGAATTGTAAACTCTGTTGTTTTTATTGTTGCATATAATCTCACACAAAGGAATAATTTTTACATACGTAAAATATAAAATGTAATTCTGCACACATAAACGTTTTTACATAATATATACTGCACAATTCTGTTACCTGGCGTCACCAAAGACAGTGATGCTTCAATTGTAAATGACTAGGTCAAATTTACAATTGAAACCTAGAGCTGTGTCATTGGATGAATACCAGGAATGTTACACCCATAGCGGATGAACGTGACCTAGGACACGACAACGTGTTTTTGCATTGTTGCTTTGACATGACACCTTCAATTTTTGTTTTAGAAATCAAAGTCTTAATTATTAAGAATTTAGTCATTTTCATGCTTGAGCAAGAGATAAATTGCGTTTTCGAGCTAAAATTCGTTCATGGTCCATATGTATTTTATACATAGTTTATTGCAAACAAAAATGGGAAATTTTCTAACCGGAATGTGTCGACTGTCGACCTAGCGCAGAAAGTGAATAGAGAAAAATGAAAGATTCAAGATACATTGTACATTAATATACCGCATGTTTGACACCAGAGAATACTATAGACGTACTAAGGGCATATGGGTTGTAAACTGCACGAAAATATTGCATGTATAATATATACCTATGCTCTCAAACAATCCATGATGCGAAATTTGGTTGTGTTAGTTGAAAAGCTCTCTCAATACTGAATATGGACGCAGGTTTATCACTTTTTGTAAGTAAAGGTAAGGAAAAATATTTACCATCTTTACCAAGTCAAGCCCGCCACGAAACAAAGTCATCCTAATACTATTCGGAGTCATACACGACACACCATTAGGAATTAATATAGTATATATAATATAACTGATTGAAATGATCACATTCCCACAGGCAAGTGTAATGCTGCTATTTTATGCTTCATTCACGCCCAGGTAAGCAAGTATCGTCACCTAAACATCGTAACTCGCAATCACAATGTGACTTGAATATTGCCACGAAATTTATTTGGTATGAAACGACTGGAGCGTTTTGTGCTAACGTCTTTCGATCAGGTACAATTTCTTATGCGGCGAACGAGTGAAATATTGAGTGCATTGACTATTATATATATATGTTCTGTCGTCAGCTCACTGCTTCACCTTGGAAAATGTACGTTTTCTATTCGCAGGGTAATTGTTACCGTATCTCCGATCGTTAGGAGGGGTTTCAAAGATAATATGTTCTCTTGTGGAATATCGGATGTGTGTACATTCTCCCAAACTTGTGTATATCCGACAACTCCAGAAAACGGCAGTGTACTCTTGTTATGGCGTGATCGAAACCTCGCTAGGGAGCAAAGATTTGTTGGATGTGATTCGTTCTCTCGTTTCAGTTGGCGGAGTTGGAATCTTAGTTCCGCTGCTACTCGTGTCACCAGATTTGTACTTCTGTCTTGCATCTTTGTTTTTCTTACGTCCAGAAAAACGACGAAATCGACTTTCTCCTGACGTGGAAGATACCCAAGTGCTTCTGAAAAAAGTTATTATTCAGTAATGTGTGTGAACTGTGAAATGTTATAATCAATTGAATAAAATTTCATTTCATATTGTCATTGGAACAATGATATATAAAAGCCTAAAAAAGTAAATTTTGAAAGTTTAGATCGTTCAATCGCCCGTTTAACGCTGTAACATGCGACACATTTTATTTGTGCCGATGCTATTCAGAGATGATTCAAACATAAGCTATGAGGCAGTATGTAATGTAATTAAAAATGTATTTATAGATGTTGTTGTACACATAATTACGCTTCAAACGGGTACAGGAGACTGTACGAGCAAAAACCAGAATAGGTCAAATGCCTCTTTTGGCAACCTTAACAAGCGCACTTGCTATTTGACATTTTAAAAAGGAGAAAAGTCATGTGAGATATTTCCTTGATCTCGCGAAAACATAGTCAACTAGTGTTGTTTAAGTAAGGTAAATATATTAAAAGTATAAACAGGACAAAAGTGGCAAAATCCCAGTGCAAGATAACCTTGGGACAAACCGCAACAAAGTGTGGCGTTCAAAGTGCGAATATGAGGCACGATGATGCTATCGCGCCGGACGTTGTAAAAACGATATGTGGCGTAATTGACGTGTCACGAATCACTGCGGTGTCCGGTCGCTGGCTGCAAATCATTGAAAACACAATATAATGCGCATGAATCAGATCGGCTGATGTAGTTACCATCTATATAACTCATTCAGGTGTTGAGTAATGTTTTCGTGATCGTGCGCCAACTTAAACATATCAATGCATTAACGTGGTGCAATAAACATCACATTTTATTCTGATATTGAATGCGTTCAGAATCTATATTCGATTGAATATTCCAGACCAAATGAAGTTTTTACGGGGAAACACGCATCTCCGTGACGCAAATATGACGTTTTTAATTGACCCACAAGATGATTCATTTCTATGGGACGAAATTTTCTCTTTCAACTTGGTTGGGTAGCAATGACGTAGGACCATGAACCTTATAAGGACTCGTTGATTTCATTCATGCCAAGGTTATAGTTCATATTTATTTGATCGGGGACTATTGCCTTTCAGTAGTGCTGCTTCGCTGGTACTAAAAAAGTCCCAATGACTTACCATAATAATACGCTAAACACATATGATACGTATTATGTTAACCAGCAACGAAATGTTGAATCGATTTTTAAATTGACAGTTGAAAAATATGAAAAATACGCGGATTTTAGTATTAGCTGAAATGATGTAAAATGGTAATGGAAGAAGTTCAAAATATAAAGAAGGAGTATGTATAGGAGTATCTTAATGTGTGAATTCGTTCGTATAGCATTCGAAGACAGGAAGGCATTTTGCAAAATGCTTTTGTGCATTTGAAGCCCACGTATTCCATCTGCAGAGATATGCAAACGTCCGTAAAAGCATTAGTTAGTGATTGATATTACGTAACCCATTAAATATCAAGCTTGCTAGGTATATGAACTTGCAGTTTTATTGCTCACTGCCGCGATGTACAAACAGCAAAACAACGAGAACGTCACGTATTCTTGCCTCGATGAATGACTTGAAGTCCTGCGATGATCGTCAATAACATGACTTCTTGCCTAGTTGCCTATCCATGTAATCAAATCAGCCACACAAAATAAAATTCACGCATATTCTACCTCATAAATTATTACATGAAAAAGCTTTTTAGTTGCATTATTGTGCGCAATGGTGACGATGTGCGTTTGGCGGAGAAATGTGCAAAGACGAACGGATAGGCGGAAAGTTTTAGATTTACACGAATTCATGTTACCCGATAAAAATAATACATTTTGACTGATGAACTTCAAGATCGCACCAGGCTCAAAACTTGGCGCATTTAGACTACCCGGTACAATTCAATAACCCACTTTGTTGTCACCACGCATAAGTCAAAAGTCACTTTCAATTAACAATCATATGAACTTCTACCTATACATTAGTATGACATTGAAAAACATAAACAATGGAGTGTGTTCATGTGCATTGAAATTGAATTCAATATCATGAATCCATTCTTTTAAATGTACGCTTCATTGAATTTCAAAATGGTCGTTTGAATTTGTATGGAATATACATTTTATGCAGTGTATTTTTTTTGTTTTGATTATTCACGGAACGTTGACGGATGCGAAAGTTGCAGATGACTCAATATAATGCAACCGTATGACGCATGTTTTAAAAACAAAGGACCGTCTGAGGGAATTCGCCGTCAAAACAACAATAAGCATTTTTGGTTAAAGAATAAAGAATACAAAGTTCGTATAAAGTTCGTATAAAGTTATTACTACAGTCTATATACTCTATACAGACGTAATTAAACCTTGTTACTCATGCTTGAATGAATGCATCCTTGGAAAATTTGTAATATAAACCTACCCGCTTTTTCCGTTTCCGTAAATGCAGGGTAAAAATATTCGCTGTATTGTCGTTCTCATGTGCGGTAGACGTATTGAATATATAATCGGATTCATGAAAGAATTGATCACGGAAGGAACCAAGGCGAAATCAAAAGCTAAAAATTCAAAGTACTAGTTTAAATAAATTGACAAATAGAATTTCAAGAAATATACAGATTGACGAGATAGTGTTGATGGACGATGTCGAACAGCTTATTGGCATTTTACGGATTTCGGTACTATTGAAAGAATTTCGAATCTGGCTTAACCCTGCTAAAACGCTTAAAGTCATAATAGAGAAAGTTGAGAAAAAGTTACAACTTGGGACCAAAAAACTAATATATGAATAACTATTGCAAAATGAAAACCATTTGATCACAATAGAAGTATTAGGTGACGTCGCAAACATAATAGGCCTGCAAACGAGAAGGCCTGTAAATATGACAGCAAAAATCGTTTTGGTTTTAGTTTATTTTTTATTCTCAAATACAAAAAAATGTTGTTGTTCAAATTTATTCAAAATTTTTTTTTCATTCAACCATGCCTCTTAAGCAAAGAGTACATTGAATGATTTTTATACCGACCTCTCGACAGCGTCTCGCTATGTTCCACAGTTACCAAGTCAACAATGAAAAGACCTTGTACTGGCAACCAACATAAAACAAAAATTCCCAGTGTGATGACGAGCGTTTTTGCAAGTCGAACTTCCCGTGTCTGCAAATACAATGCAAAATAATTTTATTCAAATTTGTCAAACAGTCAATAGAATTGTACGAACAATTTGAATGCGGCATGTTCTTTTTGGATTTGTTTTAGGTATTCATTCGATTTATTTTTGAATATACAATTTTTCACAAAAATAAAACCTAGTCGCCAAAATTGCTTGAAACCAGCATGTTGATAATTTTACCTGGTAACACGCGGAAGCAAAATATATGACAGAACTTAGCCTACTACCTAATTTACCAAGTATTTTAAACTGATGTTGAATATTGCTGAATGACTCACATCCTTCTGCATTCATCGGGTCTAAATTTTATTCAAATTCCTCCGAATTAGTTAGTGCAAATGCGTTTCAACGTATTGGCACAGTATACAAAAGGTATGCTTTTCACTGGTAACAATTTACGAGATAAGCATGGCCAAAAAAAATAAAGTTATTACCTTTGATTTACCGTCGCCCCCTCCGAATGTTTTTTCCTTAACGACTTTGAATATGACTCCATACGCTGTTGTCATTATGATAACCGAAATCGCAAAATAGACGACGCCCAATAAAATATAGCTCTTTTTGAATGGGATGAAAGATTGAGAACAATCACGCCCACAAACATCGTCTCCAAACTGACTGCGGAGGCAAGCGCATAGTCCTGTGGGTGTTATAGAATACATGAATGTAGAATATATTCAATCAGTCTACAACGGTTTCGTCAAAATTAAGACAAAATAATTCAATTTTATTGATCGATTTTATTGTGTATTAATGTCTCCTTATATTCAATAAAACAGCTACGATTGACCAATGAGTGTCCAAATGTGAACGACTTTTACAGTTTCAATTAAATTGAAATAAATCTAATTGAATATTATAGATTTCAAGTCCAAATGACTTCTATATTGTTTTGGCAAATTGGAATGTAACTCAGGTTCATCACTCTCCTCTTTTGCTTAACAAAATCAAGTATCAGAGCGACAACTACTACGCATATAGGATATTATTAACCTATGCTGTGCTGCATATCATATTATTTTCATTAACGTACCATCATGCGCGCAGCAATGCACTTCACTGCAAGACCATCCTACGAGAGGGGCCACCAGAAAAACGCCGATAGAAAGTATCCAAGATCCTAGGATGAGAGCAACAATTGTTTTCCTGTTCATTCTCCTTGTATATTCCGCATGCCGAACGATGCGGATATATCTGTCCACGGATACTAGGAGTAAACTGTTCACAGATGCAATGAAGGTAACGACAGCGATTCCCTGTAAAAATAAAAATAGTTGAAACAAAATTACTTAGGCGCCAAATTCGGGGGTGCTAATCGTGTCAATGACAACGAGATAAAATTGCGAATTATAATATTTAAACTACTTGAAGCAATGAATACTGTATAATATTTAAACTACTGTAGGAATCTGTAAATTTGACGACATTTTCATGTAATTGTCGGTTTTGATTAAAACGTACGGTAAGCTGCGTATGGACGATTTACTTATTATTGTACATCATGACTAAAAAAATGATTTGAGCCTAAACTTATATTTAACTGACAGAAATCTTACACTACATATATCTAAAAAGTTTTTAGTTTTGTCAAATTAGTAATGGTCCTAATTGGTGAATCAGGGGTTCGGTACGCTTCTCACGCGAGGTGGAAAATTTCTGGTTTAAATGGTAGACATTTCAAGGTTTTCATTTTTGGCTTGGTAGAGTTGCGCGTACGCGATACGCACACTACAAACCACAATTTGACTTTTCTAGAAACTTCAACACCAATACAAACACATATTGAAAAGATGTACAATACCTTCAAAACAATCCTACTCATTGGATTGTCACCAATTGGAATGAAGATTGCCAGTACTACTTCAAAACCTGTGAAAAGATCGGCGACAGCAAGGCTGGCAATAAACCAATAAGGGGGCTTTCTCAAGCTTCGATGGCCCTTTGTTATCGCAGAGAGAATCACACTATTTTCCAATATAGTGAGAACTGCAATAATACATGCCACCTTTTCGGCAATTGTAACTTCCCTTGCATTGTGAAGTTCGCATATTTCACGTTCTCGAAAGTAATGAGAGACAGTTTCATTCATTAGTTGAGCGGTGGAATTCTCCTGAATAATTCCGTAACTGGAATCTGATGCCATATTTTGATTGTAAGCTTCCGCTCCGACAAGCCTTGTCGGTATAATCTCAATTACAGCAGACGACATTGCAGAGAAGACGCATTCATAAAATGACGATATGTTACGCTATACTGTTTGATTTAAATTCCTATGAAGCGTCTGCGACAGTGAAACGGTTAATAAGAGTCATGAGAATCACTGTGATTTCATTTTACGAAGCCTCGTCATCATGCCGGCAGTTCGGTAAATTTAGCCTGATACCGGTAATTAAACAAGAATGATGGAGCTTACATTATGGTAATAATTCTGGTTTGTTAATAGTCAGCGCTATGGCAAGATATTCTGACGTTGCCGTCAAAATGAGAATCTTTGTATCTAATAGCATAATAGAACGTAATTATAGTTTACCATATTATATCGCAACAGTTAAATCATTGATAATAGCGTTTTTATTATTATTCAGAAATCGCCATCTTATCACGCAGAGTCCTACGACCAGTTTCCCCTTGGCACAAATATTTAGTCGAGCTGATTCAAATGTGACTAATTAATTATCAATCAAAAATATAGTGTACTGAGCACTTTCCACTGTTCAAGTTCACATATTTTAAACTTGTTTAAAGATGAAAAATGTGCAATAGCTATTCGAATTTTGTCCAATACTTAGTATTAAATATTTAGTCATTCAACAATATTTGAAAATGGTGGGAAAAAACAAAAGACAGAAGTATAGGAAATTATTCAACGAGCCAGACTTCATCAAATATGGGGTCATGTTATTCAAATATCCTCGCCCAACAGAAAATTATATTCAGCTGTTACCCTGAGTGAGTCGCTATCGCACTGTGCGTTCTAATATTGCTGCATTTTTTAACCACTCTGTCTTGCGGGTGTCATTGACACGCGCACTTCACCACCGATCACTGAAATACTGATGTAATAAATCAATTGCGCCGTCTTATAAATGACTGAGGTTCAACTTCTCGACTATTGACGTAGTCCATCAACTGATCCAAATAGATATATCCGAAGTTTGTTCAGTCGGTATGCTAGTCGTTGGTATACCGTATAATGTACTAAGTGAGTAGTGAATTTCAGTTCTCGACTGCAGCTTTCGGCTCTGCCTCGACGTCAGTGTCAAAAAGCGACACACTATTCATATTGAATTGAGCTAAATAGGGTACGCGAAAAAGAAGAAAAAAATAGATACTGGATATTTAACAAGAAAAGTTTACATCGGCAGTTCTTGCCCTCGTTTTTGTCCCCTCTAAAATTATCTGGCGAATCTCGTACTTCCATTTCCGAATTGTTCAAAAATAATATTTTTCCCAAACCATTGAATTATTTCTAATTTTTTTCCTGTATTTGAAACTAAAACGAGAAAGAAATTATGAAATCGTGGACACGAAAATCAGATAACCAATAGCAGTATTGAGGCCATTATATCAAATCATCGATATCGACGGGGCCTTAGTTGAGTATTGGGTTATCTGAAAGATGACGTACTAGTCCAACGGAATGCGTGGTAGCGATAAATACAGGAAAAATATTAAAATTTAGAGTGGAATATTGTGCGACATTAGTGATAGCTTTCTATTTTGCAAACGGTATCATATAGGTACACTTTGTTACCAATTACGCAATACTAAATTCGAATTAGTATTACGTTAGTAAACAAGATGGGGAACAACAACAACAACATAATAACAAAACAATCCGTATGTAAAAGCTCAGTGACTTTTTTGATGGTGATGCCTGTTTTAACCAAACTTAGCGAGATAACATTCCTTCACCCCCTAGCAACATCCATCCTGGCAAAGGCATGAAACATCGAACTTAATATGCGTGGAGTTCTTCGTGTCATTCTTATTTTTCAAAAAGTGAGTAGTCATTTGTTTGCCACGTTATGACCGTGAAGTCGAAATTTGATTTGTCATATAACCATATAGCTAGCCCTACCTGTTTAATGATACTTGGTGATGAATCTTATGAAAGGTAATCTCAGCGAAGGGCAAAAAGTATATCAAGGTAGTGCCTCACGAGTGACACTAGTGGCTTTGGTGTGTGTCCGACAAGATTCTTCGGTCATGGATGTTGGTTTCAACCCGTTTCAAAATTAGGGAAGGCGGCTTAATCATATGGCGAACCACGGCCTCTCGTCCGGTTACAGTCCATGCCGAGTATGGGGTTAGTTAGCCAATTATTTGTTTCAGATGCATGTGGAGGAAGCCGCAACCGACCAGCGAGCGGTTAGGCGAACCACCCCACGGTGGCAAGGAGTCGTCTAGTCCAGGGGTTCTCAAACTTTTGATGTTGCGGAGCCCTTGAAAAGGTTGACCATTATTCACGGAGCCCCAAAATAAATGTTAAAATTGTTACTTTCCAATTAATATTCCTGAGTAAGTTAAAAGTACTTTGATTATTTTGAATGCAACACCTTTTTAATAGGGTTAATACAAGTCATAAATGAATCTAAATTTCAAAGATAAATTATATATACTAAAGCTATAAATTTGACACTTGACAAACATATTAATAAATTAGGGGTCGAATCTTTTCCCTTTTGACATTTTTGGAAGACTTAAAAGGCGCTAAAAACGCGCGCGATTGCATTTTGTTACAATCGCCGATTGTTTTCGTCAGTATGGCGTGTTTTAAACCTTAAACATCTTTACGCCGATGTTTATTCTTCCTAAATCAAAAATTTCCATTGACATATACGTGTATTGTTCCACAATGACAACGATAATTGCTTTTTTGTTCTCGTGGGGAATTATGAGTTCAATGTAAAAAAACATGTTATCATATTATAGTCATCGGCGACGAAATACTAAAAATAATAATTAATAAAGAGGTAAATCCGCAACTCGAATTTCTTGATTGGAAAGCGGCATTCTAAAATATTAAAACTGAAACTTAAATGGGAGATAACACTATAAGTGTTGTTTCAGCAGACTTTTATAGACATTGTGAATCACAAAATTTAGTTTTATGTTTACTTTGGTTATTCATCATAGTAACTGCGGAATCGAAACACAGTCAATTGTGTATGCGTTGTACCTTTTAGCCGCATGCAATAAAATAAATTACAATCGTTCATATTTTGCCCAGACCTTGGGTATTTTATGTTATTGGACACGTTTAGTGGCCATAACGATCGTTTCAATATTATGTTGTTGTTGTTGTTGTTCTTGTTCTTTGACACGTTTTTAAAAAATCGCTTTTCTCTTCGAATACTGGACCAATTGCTTTGAAATTTTCAGTGGTTAAAGATTAATTTCTTCGCTAGAAGGCTATTACTTTTATTTATTTCAAAATTTTGCGTGAATTCTATGAAATTTGATATTTCGTCTAAAATTTTGCTGTATTATTTTTTATCCATGGGAACACGGATTTTAGTCAGTGTCATGACTGGCTGTACGTTTTGATTCGGCAAAATTCTTGCTACTGGAAATTCAGAACTTTTTTGAGGGTACCGGTAGCGTCAAAGGTACCGGTAAAGACTGATTCGCTCTGGTCTAACGTGTCCATATATTTGTGCGTAGCTCTCTTGTTTTAGAATAGTATTCTTTCATTTTAGTAATCCTAATAGTAATCTCGAATCAAACGTGAGTGACGATGAGCACAATTAGAATTATTACGACAAGACACTTTAAAATTAAATGCAATTTAAATGAAGAATGTTGCGTAGAAATTTCCAATTCCAATTTTGAACCCCTCCCTCTTAAGAATCCTGGCTGTGCTCCTACTTATAAATAATGTCATTTTTTAGTTCCGCCTTTTTGCCATATTTCGAGGCTATATTGTTGTCCAATTTTATCAAAGCTGTTATTGCTTCTTTGAACAGTTACAAAATTAGCCAAGTCAGTATTTTGAAAAGTAACCGAATAGCTCGCGGAGCCCCTGGGTTTCTCTCGCGGAGCCCTGGGGCTCCGTACGGAGCACTTTGAGAACCTATGCTCTAGTCCATAGCTACTCAACTATTTTCACCAAAAGTCCGTTTAGAAAACTTCAAAATTACTGGGGTCCGGATACAGAATATTTTTTTTTATTAAATAAACGAAACGTCAAATGATGGCTCGCAAATATAGACACAAATGTCGCATATTGGTACCAGTACGACAAACTGTATAGCTGTGTATTTAAGATGATAGTTGTCCTTCATTTTTTCCAATATCGATAGTTATAGTACTGTGTTTGATATTGTTCCGTTCTTAAATCGCCTCCGTTTATTCGAAGCTTTTAATCATTCTTTTTAATTTCGCTTTGGTCCGGCTCAAATAGACAAAGAAATACCAATTTTATTAACATTTCAAATATTTCACATTAATTTTCCGAAGATGGCAAGTGGCAACACTCCAAGATTTGAGTAAATTCTAGTTCAATATCCGAATATTCCGTTATTTTTTGGCATTCAAATCGACGCTTCAAATCACAAAAACATGAAAATGTTTCCAGTCTGTGTTCAGTATTTTAGCTTGGAACATGGCACAGTTACCTTTAATATTGATTTCTTCGAGAATGCAGATGAAAGTGCGGATGGAATGTTTACTTGTTTGAAAAACACTATGAACAAATTACAACTTGATTGGAAAAGAGTTTCTTGTTTAAGTCCAGTTAACGCAAATTGCAACTTTGGAGAAAAACATCCTCTTTATACTAATGTTCGCACACTAAATGATGGTATTATCAAGGCTAACTGCAGTGCACACATTGTACAGAATACATTGAAATTTGCTTTAGGGAATTTCAATGTTGACATTGAAAATATTGTCTTGAAAATTTACAGTCATGTCTCAATGTCAGCGAAAAAGGGAGAAACTCCTATACAATTTCATATATTTGTAGAGACGGAATTTCATGAAATTCTGCGTCATGTACCTACTAGGTGGCTATCTCTGCATCCATGCATCGGAAGAATCTTACTTTCTTGGGAAGCTTCAAGTTCTTATTTCTTGAGCAGACCAGCTGAATGTTCCAACCAATTACTTAAACTTCTTATGATTGACAATGAGTCAACAGAAGTTCCTCAGCTTATTGAAATGTATTTACTATTCTCACAACATGTAATGGAGATATTTAAATAAGCTGTTCAAGAACTGGAAAAACATGAAACTTCAACAGCAGATGTTTTCATTATTCTTACTAAATTAAAAAATAGGTTAAAATCTCGATCTGATGAAGAATTTTTTGAGTATGATGTTCACCAACTTATTGCAAATGTGAGTGCTGCTGAAGCTCAAGAGGCAACTGAAGATTTTAGATTATTTCTCAACTCTGCAATAACGTATTTAGAAAAAAGAGTTGACTTTGATAAAAATTCAACATTTGGAAAATTATCAATATTATCTCTTTTCGATAATCTTTCTCCGAAATATCAGACATTTGTAAAGATTGTAGAGCATTTGAAGCTAAAAGACAAACTTAATTTGAATATGAATACAACAACTTATGAAAAGTGAGAAA